GTGAAACGTGACAGTCAGTGCAGTTTCCAAACCTGAATGTCGATGTCTGCAACGTAAATTCCCACCATTTGAGACACAAAGTACAAGTTGTGCATCTGAACATTTCATTTGTACAGCTTTGTAAGTGGCATCTCTAAGAAAATAAACATGTCTGCAAGGTTTTTGTTCATTATGTTATTTCAGAGGATTTTTAGAAGCACTCAGTAGCGATCTGAGAGTTTTATTACACTCCACAAAAGTGGGTTTTACTGTTTCCATTTTACAGATGGGAAATCTTAGGCTCACAGACTGAGGCTTGCTGGAGATGATACAGCAGGTCCTCGCAGGAGTAAGGAGCACAGCTTTCCTGCCTTTCAGTTTTCTTTACAACTTCCAGACAGAGGTCTCGTGTTAGAATCTGTGTATTAATGGAGGATCTCATATTTGGGCCAACAAGCTGCATTTTTCCTGTTCCTAGAGAAGTTTTACGTTGGAAAGTAGAATGATTATTCAGTGTGGTGAGGGGTCTGGAGCAGCCGAATGATGGGGAGCAATGAGGGAGCTGGGGGATTCAAGTGGAGAAGAGGAGCTGAGGGGAGACCTTATCCCCTCTGCAGCTCCTGAAAGGAGGGGGTAGCGAGGGGGGGTCAGGCTCTGCTCCCCATAACAAGTGATGGGACGAGAGGAAATGGCCTCAAGTTGTGGCAGGGGAGGGTGAGGTTGGATCTGAGGGGAAATTTCTTCATGGAAAGGGTTCTGAGGGACTGGCAGGGGCTGCCCAGGGCAGTGGTGGAGTCCCCATCCCTGGAGGTATTTAAGAGATGGAAAGTTGAGGTGCTGAGGGCCATGGGTTAGTGGTGGACTTGGCAGTGCTGGGTTAATGGTTGGACTTGGTGATCTTGGAGATCTCTTCCAGCCTAAATGATTTTCTGATTTGAACAAACTGTTTAAACACCAAATCCCTCCCAACATCCCTCTTTTACACCAGTGATCCAGAGGAAGGATTGTCTCCTGTAGCTGACTGGTGGTTGTTGGGATTTAATTTGCTGTTTTCAGCATAAAACTGCAGTGATCTCGTTTCCAGCATCCCCCTCTTCTCCCAAAAGATCACAAATGTCCTGGCACAGCTGGAGGGGGGTGATCAGTGCTGTGGGACCTCAATAGTGACTGATGATGGAGAGGAAGGGAAGCAGATTAGGGATTAGGGACACAAAATTTCTTCATTCAGTTTGCTGCTGAAGAAAACACATCATTGAAGTACATCCTCGAGGCACACAGCGAGAGAAGTAGCCCAAGGGTGTGCTATTTGTGAATTGAATTTGAGGATTTTGAATCTCATTTTTGGGTTTGAACTAGAAGAGCAGCCCTCTCTGCTCTCTGCATTTAGTTGATTGAAGCTGCAAAGAAATTCCTCTATTTTGGATTTTTTTAAAAAACAAACAAAAAAGGCTACTTTGTTTTCAGAGAGATATTTGGCATTTATTACCATATCATCTGGGCACAGTACTCTGATTCATTTAAAATTCACTTTATTCTCAGTTGTAATAACTTCTCAGTGCTGTATTTCAGGGGTTTACCACACGGGTAAGGGTCTTTTGCCCACCTCTGTAACCCTGCAAGTAACACTGCTGTATTTCTTTTTCTCCCTGTTACTTCCATAGGAAAAAAGTTATCAGATTTGGAGCGAGTTACCTCCCTTAAAGTGTACAATTGGTTTGCCAACAGAAGAAAGGAAATCAAGAGAAGAGCCAATATCGGTAATGTATCAGAGCGCCTGCTTTCAAGGTTTAGTTCATACACTTGCTCAGGAGAGATGGAAATTACGTAAGATTCTATTAATGAAAATACCAGAGGCTCTGCCATCCTTAATAGAAACGTGGAGCAATTTTTAAAATGAGTCTTTTGCTGTTCCAGATTTTTTTTTTTTGGATAAGGGTAGGAGTTAAATTTATGGAATTCCATCATTGGCACAGGAAAAATGATGCAGTTACGGAGTTTTACTGGAGGATCAGTTTTAAAAACCAAAGCGAGAGTTTTGTTGGCAGGAAAAAGATTGTGTTTCTCTATGCTCAGGCTCCTTTGGGTATCCAAAATAAAATCTAAAATAAAACCTCGAAGTATCTGCATTGGAAAGAAGGGAAATCGAGACGATTGCAAGTTCACAACCTTCGCTCGCTGTTTACATGAGAAGTGGCTGCTGTGAAAGAGCTTTTATCTGGTTGTACGTTTCCTTGTGGCTGTGCTCCACTGAAATGTGCTTGGTTTTTCAGCCAAAAATTGGGGGTGTCTCTCTTACAGCCACCCCTGGGACCCCACAGGGACCCAAGAGTCCACATGGGTTATTTTATATCTCAGATACAGGCACTGACACCAAAGCCAGCTTCTCATTTTGGTTACACCTGTGCTCCTTAGCGCTTTCCAAGGGGTTGCACAGTGGCAAGTGGCTGGAACAAAGTAATAATTTTCCTTGATAATCAGGAGAAAACGAGCATCACTTCGGAGTTAGCCCTGCCAGGACTTTGTGTTCATCTTAAGAAAATCAGAAGTGACTCCGAACTTGTAGAAGTAAACCTAATGGGAATAAAAATAACACATTCTCATGAGAATAAACACACATTAATGGCCAAGAGTCAATAAAACATGCAAAATTTCAGGCACTTCTTTAGATACCGTGCAGAATTACGTTTGCAGTGCATAGACATAGATCCATACCTGTCCATTACCACTATTTTTGCAAATGTCAGCTCTTGTGCCCTTTACCAACTGCTTCTTTTTGCTGTATTTGTGAATAAGAGCAATTTCTTTTTACTTCATTTTGTGTCGTACTGGAATCGAACCTAAATTTATATTTGCTAGAAGTGAAATGTGTCTGTTGAAGGGGTGGGGGGAACAAAGCGGAGCCAGTCCAAGGTGGCTGGAGTGAGAGCTGTATCTGCACTGTATGGGGCACAGGGTCGGAAAGAGATTATCAAGAAATATAATAATTATAAAGAATTATAAAGCAAGAGATTATAAAGAGCTTTAGACGCATGAGTCCTGCTGGAAGATGAAGACATGCATGTTTTTAAGTCCTTTAAAAAATTTCTCCATCTGTTTTCAGACGCTCCCCTTCCCCTTCAAGTCCTGCCAGTCCCAAACTATGTGGGAAGATCTACAGGGAATACCTTTGCCACTCCAATGCACTAGAAATTAAGCTAATTTCTAATAGGACTGGCTGGATAACGAGGATTTTTACTCGCAACAAGTCTGTTAGTTGGCAGGGAAGGATTTCAGGCAAACCAGTGTCTGTACTTGTGCTACCTTCCCGAATACTGGAGAGTGAAGAGGAAAGAGGCTAAGAACTCTGTTCTTGAAAAAGAAATAATTACTTTTAATTACTCTAATGCATCAGATAAATTAGGGATCCATTTGCTTTTTTCGAAGAAGCAGCAATCCTGGAGAGCCATGGGATAGATGTACAGAGTCCGGGAGGTCATTCCAACAGTGACGACGTCGATGGCAATGACTACTCGGAGCAGGTAAGCACGGCCACGTGGGCCAAAAAAGGAGAGATTACGTGACACACAAAGAGGCCCTCGACCCCTTGTAAATCAAATGTCTCTTGTCTTTGTGTTGCTTTTTGTGTAATTGTAATGGGGAAAGTGGGAGAGCACAGCTTCCCTGTTCGAATGTGTTGAGCAACCACCCACGTGGATTTATTGTCGTACAACAGGACACTTGGCAAGTGCGCAATGGGGAGGAGGAGGGAAGATGTTCAGAGGGAGGCAGAGAAGCAGAGAAGGTAGAAGAAGACAGGAGGATCTGCTCCAAACAAGCAAGTTACACCATTCACGCCACACGCAATGTATGAAAAATGTTAGGAGAGTGTTACCTCACCCAGTGCACCCTGCAGGACTTGCGCTCTCCTTGCCCCAGCACCGTTTCAGTGTTTTCCACCCCCCAGAAAGGATATCCAGGTCTTTAAGAATTGCTCTGTCCATCAGGCACCCAACAGGCTTCCCTGCTAAACGAGGCCTGTGTGTTCCTCTTGCCCCTATCATTTATTTCTGTAAGGAAATATCTCCATTATCGCCAGTGCGACAGCTACTGGGAGTTTTACCTGGCACCCAGACCAGTGCAGCATTAACCCCTGCCCAGTACCCTTAATAATCCCTGTGTTTGTCTGGGGCAGCACCCTTCAGGATTGGTCCCTAAGTCACTGACAGACAAAGGGTGAAGGGTGGGGGGAAGGATTTGACTCTTTAAATCTGACATTTATTTGGCCCTGTACCTGTTTCGTATTGTTCTGCAACGCAGTGCCACTATTTGGATTGTTTACATATTATCTGTCTTTTTTTTTTTTGCTTTTTGCATTGTAACTCTTGCCTATTCTCTCTTGTCCTTGGTTATTTTTAACCCTTGACAGCAACTTCTTTTTTAAATTCTCTAGCAAAAGAATACCCCTTCCCGCACCCTGAGCCCTCACCTACCCTAAAGTTGGTGACCCTTCCTTCACACACCTTCCTGCCAGGTATTGCATCCCCTTCCCAATTTTCCTTCAGGTCTCAGTTGGCCAAAAACCCCTCAGGGCTGTGTGTGCTTGGCACCAGCAGATTTGCTGGAGCCGACAAGGAGAGGCTGCTCTCCGACTTATAAAATACTCTGTGTCAGTCACATGCAGGACCTGAATACTGAGCTGAAGTGTTATTTAGATTCCCAAACGATGTTTTTTCCTTCTCCGTGTCATCCAAAATACTTTGCAAAGTGAAATACAGTGGTAAAATGTAAAGATCTTTGTTTAGAGTCCTTAAAAAGTCCATTTCTCAGTAATCTGGCTGGGCTCCTCTGTGAGGTGTAATTAGGCATTAGCAGCAAAGCGGATTAAATGGCAAGCTCTCCTGATGACCATTTAACATCCCCTCGCTGTTAAAACCACGAATTCTGGTTTCCACAGCCACACTTAAACTCTAGGAAACCTGAAAACACAAAAGTTCACCCAAATGATAACGAAGTGCCTAAAATTCCCGAAGCCAGGACTTTGTTTTTCTTACCATGGTGGAGATTACTGAGAGGACCTTAGAGTGTGTGCACATCACAGTGTTTGCTGACATTGGTCGTGAATTAATGCATTCCTTTAAATAACCTCAGGATTTTACCAAACCCTGGCTTTTCTGTCCCCTCAACGTTTACCACCTCTCATCTTAAATTAAAACTTTTGAATTTTAAATTTCAGAACTTCATCACTTAAAAGCTGTAGGAAGACCGAGAAATGTTTATAATTTCCTTTCTGTAAGTTTGAAAAAATTAATATAATAAAAAATAGTGAGTTCATGGGTTGGTAACTATTAGTACCACATTTTAAAGAGAGGAAAACACTTTGCCCAAAGTCCCAGAAGAATTTATTTGGCTTAGAGATTGGATATTGCTGGTTCTCCTTCCTATCATTCAAAACCAAGCCCTGTATCTGATGTAGACTGAGAAACCTGCACAACTCACTATAAAATTTATGCTAGAATTGCCAGAATTTTAGGTCTGTATTGGTTCCAGTGTCTCCATATTGGTTTTGCTTGCCAACCTTCACAGCCATCAACACCGTTATCCTCTTTACTATTTAGAAAATAGACAAAGAAGTATCTGGTGTGTAGTTTACTAGGCTGGAGAACCTGGCAGTATCTTCATAAATTCAATTATGGTGGTTCCACTCCCCTGAAATTACTGCGATGTCTTGGAGGTTTTCAGCATCTTTTTCCCTGTACCTGTGGGAACTCAGTGTCCTCATGGCTCAGACCAAGGTTTAGTCGAGGTTTCCACTTCGACTTCCGTCACTGTATCCACTTCAATTTTTGATAGTTCCTGGTAGACTGATTTTCCCTGAACTTGTTGGCCATCCATCCCCAACCTCCCAAAACCCCCCCATTTTTACTTTTGGGTAATTTGAAAACCAGTGAATCCTGCAGCTGAACTGTGATAGGTGAAGCAGTGCTTCCCATTGCTGCTTTGCAGTATTTTATCCCGTTATTCTAGTGCGTGCCTTTGGTTATTAGATCTTGAGAAACCATGAACAGTTGTTCTCTATTTACTGATTATTTGTAATAAACATTTCCCGTATCAACCATCAGCCATTTATTTGCCAGGCTGGAGAAGCTCAATCTCTTTAGCCTCTCCTGTAAGGAAGCCCCATCCCACGCCTTTTTCCCCCCTCTCTACCTTTTCTAGCTCTGTTGTGTCCTCTTTAAATGGCATGACCAGAGCTGTACGTTCAGAATGTAAGCATAGCATGAATTTGTGCCGTGCGTAATGATTCCAGTTTGGTTTCCTGCCATATGTTGCGTAGCACTTTTGTCTTTGTAATTTAATCTTTTCCTCAGAATATCTCCCGCCTCAAATTTCTCTCCTGAAAATCGGGTACGCCACTCCTTGCCCCGCTTACCTTTGTCTGCACAGTGAGGGAAATCAATCCTAAATCCATTTTGTGAATTCCTTTCATTTCCTACCCCCGTAACAAGCGTGCAGTTTGTCCCCCCCGGCCCATTGCTTCACACGCTAGTTTTTATCCCCCGATTTTCTGCTCGTGGAGTAACGCCGCTTCTCTCTTCTCCTTTCCACATGTGCAGGATGACAGCACTAGCCATAGTGACCATCAAGACCCCATTTCACTAGCCGTGGAAATGGCAGCGGTAAACCACACCATCCTGGCATTGGCCCGGCAAGGAGCCAACGAGATCAAGACAGAGGCTCTAGACGACGACTGATACCAAGAAAAGGGGAGGGTCGAAGCAAGAAGTAACTTAGTTTTAGACGTAGCACCTTAGCAGACTTTCCTCGGTCCTTAATATGTGTTCTTACAGTATAACTTTGCAGTTTCTTGTACGTCAGTTAGCTGTTAGGGTCTTGTTCTGTGAAGATGGCATGGTGCCCTCAGCCTTTGCATATACTCTCTCAGTATTAATTCCCAATAAATAATCAATCAACCAACCAACCTCCCTCTCCCAGCCCCAGTGGCTAGAAAAATCTTGCTGCTCTGTCTTAGCATTCAAAGTGCTTCCAGGTATTTTAGACAGCCCTCAATTCCAAGTCTTAGGCTACACTTAAAATCTTGGATACCCTTAGAGATCGTGTTTAAAAAAACCTAGTCTGTACGCTTTTCCTTCTCTGAGACTGAAAGGATGCAAGCTGAGGTAGTGGCACAGGGTCGATGGACACCAGATCGGGAGTATCAGCAGAGAGTAAAAAGAACACTAGAAAACCCCACTTCAGCATGGGAATAAATGATTTCCAGCTGCAATAAGCCGTGCCTCACTGGTCATACAGTGACTTGATCTACTTTTGGGTGCTGTGCTGAGAATGTCCGTTGGAAACACATTCACACATTTCGGTTGACGTTCACACATTCAACACAGACATCCTCTACTCTCACGAGCTGCGTGGCTTAGCGGATAAGTACTGCCTTCTGCCTCTGGGACCATGCTTGAAGCCCAGCCTGGGATCAGATGAAAAACGAGCTGAATGTCTCATGGACAGCAGTCCACTTCTCACAACCACTGGTCACTGTTTGGCATGGCTGGCAGTGCCTGCTCAGAAGAGGTCTAGACTATTGATCTGTCACTAACAATTTCACCTTTTCTTCTTCCTCTCGTCCCCGCCCCGCTCCCCTCTCCACTTTCAAAAGCAGTGTTTTCCAGGAAGGTTGTTAAGGTCGTAAAATGGGTGAGTGGATTTTTACACAGCTGTGTAACTAATGCCTACGCCCTGAGTAGCCTGAAAGGTTGTTGGAGAACATTTGCATCTGACCTTTGCTAGATAACCATCGTAGCATAAATATTCTCCTAAATACGAACTTTTTTTGGTTTCTTTAAAGGCAGGAGGATCTCTTACCTGAGAAATGGGGTGTGAATGTTTTGTGTTCTCTTTACTCTGTCCTTGTTAAGATGTGAGAAAGCTATACTGCTACGAGCAATTTAATTAATAATTGGAAGCCATACTGATAATGGATGTGGTAATATTTGTAAAGCAAACCTACTTTAAGTAGCAGAAACTAATGGAATTGTTTTCCTTGATCATATGTAGCACTTTTGTTACTTTTTTCTTAAAGATATTTATATTTGATAAGTCTTTTTTTTATCATTTGAGAATTCAAAATACCAAACAGCAAACTTGCATTACAGAGTCACCCTGCGATCACCTTGTCATCTAGTATCTAAATGATGAACTGTGTGTGCATCTAAGAAAATTACATCTGCTGGCATTGTGTGGAAATGATCTCCTGGCATCCTGATAAAATGATATGTTGCTGCCGGTAAGAGGAAACATTGCAATGGAAACAGCACGGGAAGCGTTAGAGACGGGCAGGACTGTGTTACATTAAAGAACAGAAATGAAAAACCTATGTAAATTTTTGTATGGAGCTATAGAAGAATTTGCATAGCGTGACCGCGACATTCCAGTTTTACCTTCCCAGTTTATGTGGGAATAGCTTGAAAAGGAGGAAACAGCTTAGTCTGAGGGATGGGTTTCCCTTTTCTCCCCTCTGCTTCTGCAGGTGGAGAGGGAGTAGGGGGAAGTCGCTATTACTCGGCTTGTTCTCATCCCTTCCTCGCGCTTAACTCTCAGATAGCGTCGTGAACCCCTAAAATGTGGCTCCTCAGCAGGTTTTTAGCCAGCCCAAACCCCTCCAAGGCGTAGGCTAACTCCATCTTTACATCTGTTCGTCTCGCGAAAACTGCTTAGGTAAGTGTGGAGGAGATTTTGTGCTTTCGGAGGGCACGGAGTTGGCACCTCTTTGTCTCTGTACCTTTGAAGATATATGGGTAGGGCTTGGCCTCGTCTTTCGGTTATGGATTTCATTGGAAAATTTATGTGCTTTCCTTCAGTATAGATCACTGAAGCAGAATGAAGCCGTCTTTTTTTCTGGTTTATTGTATTTCTTGAGTAGGCAAATTCCTAAGCAGCATCAGGGCGGACTCAGGAAAGAAAGGAATTGGATCGGTGACCATTGCAGTTTATTTTCGTAATATCTGTATGAGTGTGTTGGTACTAAGGAGCGAAAGGACGGGGAGAGCTTTTATTTCTATTTTTGCCCAGCAGAATGATCGAGCAAACAGTAGCCTTAGTGGAATTTTACCTACTTATTCATACTACAGTCACACACCAAGCTGACAAGCAACAACCACGATTTATAGTAAGGAGATTTTAATAATCGATGGCCTCTTTACGTTGAGATTGCCACCACCATTTGTTCTGGCTCTTTCATTTTAAAAAGAACAGACTCAAACTGTTGGACAGCTGCAATTTTAGAAGAAAGATTGCTTACTGTGCCGTCTTAAAAAGGAAAAAAAAAAAGAGTCATTGTTTCAAGCATCACCTTTTTTAAAGCAATAGGGAAGAATAAAAATAGCACTGGAACTTCTGTACCCTGATTTTAGGTTCGCGTGATGCAGGATCCAAGTAAGACCACTGAAATGGTGTGTCTGTGCTGTCTGATGTAGAATATTCTGGTCTTAATTCTGTTTGTCATGGGCAGGAAGCTGCTGGTCTCATCACGCATCGCTGTCTTCTCTGAAGGTTAAACAGTTAAACCCCTTGTGAACAACTGGAGATGGGCAGATCCCCCTGCTCTGGAGCTTCCTGGTAAATCCCATCTTCTCACCAGAGAAAATAACAAATAACTTCACTGGGGAGGTCAGACACTTGGTTCCATGATGTCCTTGGTTAGTTTACCCCATCTATTTTGGCTTTTCTTTGACCATAAGAGGTACGAGGGAAGAGCCAGACTTCAGCTGCTGCCAGGACTGGATGCTCATGGCATTTTCTTTATTCTGAAAGCTCCTAATGAACTTTTTGCAGTTGGCTATTCATTTTTTGCTTTGGCATGAATTGGCCAAAAGGGAACAGACGCTGATGTGATGATATCAGGAGACGCGTACGTGATCTGGAGTAAGGGAAGGAATTGGTGGAGAGCGAGTCCTGGAATTTAGCCTTTGTTCTAGGGGTTTTATATTGAGTTTTCTTTGTCTTTCCGTCTCTGGCTTTTCTTGAAAATGATGCCTCATTTCTGTAGCATTGCAATGCAGTTGCAATTCGTTGTAGCCAATCTGGAATTACTGCAGTTTGTTCTCATGTGGGTTCCCTTGACGTGGATCTGGTGGCAGACTTGGTCTACCTTTTTGTCCTGTGAATAGAGGAGAAATTCTTTCAGATGCTCCTCCTCTGTGATGGGCACAGATTGCTTTTAACTTTGTCGAGTAAGTTCTGGCTGTTATTTTGTCACTCATAAAGTCCTTATACTTGCGTTGTTGTCTCTTACGGTCTTCTTAAAACAACAATTTCTACCTCCACTTCTTCTTTGGGGTTGGTTTTTTGGTGGGTTTTTTTGTTGTTTTCCCTGCCTTTTTCCTGACGTTTGAGATCCCAGATGTTTGCAAAAGCATTATGAGAGGATAAAAATAAGTCAACATAGCGATGAGTAGACATGTTATCCGTTGATGCTTTGGCATTCTAGAGACAGCTTCTAAATACCCTACAAACATAGGTGTTATTGCAGCGTAATCCCATTACTCATCTGTTGAATGTGAACAGTAGTGTTCAATTGCGAGTGGGCAGCGCACCCTTGCAGCAATTAAGGAACTTCATTAAGAAGAGCCTTTGAGAGGTCAAGGAGAACGATGGGTCCTCTCAGTTCATCACTTTTGGGACCACGTCTGTCGGACCATGTGCAGGGTTGGGCAGGAGTGAAGCCATCGTGGAGATGAGTGAGTTGGAGCCCACGTCAGGAGGTGAGAGTTTGAGAGAGCTGGGGTTGTCCAGGCTGACTCTGGGGGCATCTTGTACTTCAGAACAGAATCGTGAAGATTGGAAGAGACCTTTAAGATCATTGAGTCCAACCATCAACCCAACGCCTTTGTTCTTTGGCTGTCTTAATGGATGTGTTTAGGGAAGACGGAGCCAGGTTCTTCTCAAAAAGGCAAGGGGCAGCGGGCTCAAGTTGCATTAAAGAAAATCCCAAATGAATATAAAGAGAAATATTTCACACTGAGAACAGTGGCCCAGAAAAGCAGTTGAAACCCCATCCTTTGGGATATTCAAAACTTGAGAGGACAAGGTTGGATTGGAGACCTGCAGAGGTCTCTTCTGACCTGAATTATTCTGTGGCTCTGTACAGACCTGCTCACCTTGAGGAGTTTCCTAGTTCTGATCTATACATGGAGACGTCTTTAAAGAAATTACCCTAATTTTTTGTTGTTTTGTTTTCTTTTCCTCTTTTGCTATTCATAACTAGTTCTTTTCCCTGTTCTTGTAATAGAAGGGAGCTTTACTTGCAGGGTCTGGCTCCAGGCTCCAATCAAGCCATAAGTAATAAATGTCATTAATTATTTGCTCTGTTTACACAGTTCTTCAGGGATATTTGAATCATTCTCTTTGTTTCATTGCCTAACCATCAGACTGGTAAGTTTGCCATGTTTTCGTACCATTTGTGCTGTAGATCAGTTTTTGCCTTCGTTTGTGAGGATTTATCGTTGTCTTGCTGCTGTGAGTGAAAAATTTTGCATAGCTGAACGTCTTACAGGAAAAATTGCAGTTAACTTAAGCCCACTGGCGACTACCAGGATAAGGTGGAAATTTTTGGTTCAGTAAATCAATAATTGGCGATTATCAGAAGCTGAAAGGGTATGAACTGAGAAAGTCACATTTTACTCACTTGGATCTTCCTTTTCTTTCCTTAAGTGTTTGCTGTTGGGCACTGGTAGGAGAAAAACCCCACCAGACTTTGCTGGGCAGACTTTAGGTCTGATTTGGATGTTATTTTGAAGAGAAATTGCCATGGTGTTTGCCAATATGGGCTGGCATGGGGTCAGTTAAGACTCCCCAGTGTAGTTGTAAGAGGGTTTCACAGGAAGCAGGTTTTATTTTTGGCATAGATAGAACCAGCAAAATTGGTAGGAGAGTTTCCAATACTCAAATGGGTGCCCCCAAAGCACTTAAAGCAGGACGTTGTTTCCCTGTGTGTAATCT